CCCCCCCTTTCCATGAAGGATTACCATTGTGAAAAATATTGGGGGGAATTTATCAAAACTGGAGCAGACAAAATCTGGAGCAGCTGTGCATGGCAACCAATCAGTGGCTTTTTTCAGTTTGGTGAGTTAAGATTTTAAAAGGATAGAGAGAAGCTGATTGGTTGCTGTGCACAGCTGCTCCAGATTTTGTCTGCTCCAGTTTTGATGAATTACCTGTCAATATTAGTATTTTGGTATAAGAATTTGTTTTTTTGCATGATTTATTTATATTTGTATCTGCATTTCCATAAATTTTCTGACCAAACTCCATCAAAAGTAAAAGTTGGTTAGAACAAACTATAACACGGGTGTGCTTAGAATGTTCAGCTATGCACATGGTATTGATTATTGATTAAACATATATTCCAAAAGAAGAAAAAGATGTTGCTGTAACTGCCAAAAACATGTTAGCTGGAGTTAGGCTTTCATTTTTCACTTACTGTCACTTCAACTACTTGTCTGCAGAGTGTCACATTGCTGAAGGAGATCAATGGATCTACTGGCAGCTTCAAACCTAATAGAATTATGATACGATGGGACTTTTATTACTGTTGAAAGATTGAATTCTATGTAATTTTGTATTTTGACCATAGTTCTGTTTTCAGGCCAAGTATATCCATATTTTAAAAAAAGAGTTTTAACATGTCATGTTTGCATTTTATAAGGTGAAGTGTTCTATGCATTAGATGAAGACAAAATTTGCAGAGCCACGGCCCAGATGCTTCTGCAGAATGCAGTGAAGTTTAATCTCTCGGAGTTCCAAGACGTTTGGCAGCAGAGTGTTCCTGAAGGAATGACGACTAGGTTAGACCAGCTGAAGGTCAGTTTTTAGTTCAGCTCTCACCCCTGTACACCCCCCTCACCCTCCTCCCAAAATGGCCCAGAACAATGTTTACATTTTAGCTGTGGGTCTGTGGATTTAGCTATAACTTGACTTAAAGAAGAACTCCATGTGCCACTTGCCCCTCCCTTTTAGATTGTAGGTCCTCTTTACCATCTTGCCTTGAATTGTATTGTAATTGTAATGTCTTCCTTATATTGTAAAGTGCTGCTCAAACTGTTGGCGCTATATAAATCCTGTATAATAATAATAACTCCAGGAAAACTTTTTCTTAACCCTTGCAGTGGGGCTACCCCCACACTGCAAGGGTTAAGTGCTTTTTTTTGTGTCTAGGTTCAAAAATAAGAACCTAGACAAAAAGGTTCAAAAATAAAAAAAACTAGACCCGATCCCCCCGAATCTGCTGGCTGTGACAGCGCTCCTTCCAGCCTGTTTCCTGCACTGCAACATTGGAATTTTCCTTATTGCCCTCACGTCTATACACTGTGTATAGGATGTGATGATTTATAGGGCCCTCGACCGCTGCAGAGGAGGAGAGAGGCTCCAGGGGACCAGTCTAAGAGTAAGCCGGCTCAAAGCATCGGGCGAGTTTAACTTTTTTTTTTAAACTTTTTAAGCCAAGACACAAACGAGCAGTTAACCCTGCAGTGCGTGGGCTTCCCCACTGGAAGGGTAATACAAATTGTTCCTGGAGTTCTTTGAGAGAAAGAAGCTTGGGCTTTTAAAACAGTAACTCTTCCTGTATTTACACAGCAACTCTCGGCTGTCATTTTGACAGCTGATATTAGCGAGGGGGTGGGGTGTCAGGGCAGAAGGACAGGACATACTACAGACGTCCTGTGTACTTCAAGGATGTTTTACATTTTTTTTAATGCGTTTATTGTCCACAAGTGGTTACTATACCCTTACAGTATTGAGCTAAAGGTTTTTTTGTTTCTACAAGGTGACATGGTGAAAAAAAAAAAACTTTCCAAAAGGTTTAATTAAAACAATAAATAAAATCCCAGATCCCAGGTCTCCCGTCAGGGTTAGAGGATAATTGCTCTTTGAAACAAAGTTTACTTATTGTTTTTGCCCTTCTAAGATGCCCTAGCAGATCCCTCTCGGAGATGCATATTTATCGAGTTCCGACGGGCCTGGTCTCCGGTGTTTGTATACATCATGCGGCGGGGGTCTCCTTCTCCTGGCTGTGTTCGTGCCATCCCAGTGGACTTTTATGGGGCTCATCGCCCGGCTGGGCGATGGAGGTAGACAAGCCACATAGAAGTCAATGGAGGTTTACTGTGCAGACACAGCCAGGAGGAGATGTCTCCTGCATGATGTAAACAACCAATGGAGGCCAGGACCATCACTAGATGTTCTCTGAGTTTTGAGTCATCACCACAGTGACGTGCAGTAAGTGTAATGATGAGTGGTGCTGATGTTATGTCAGCACCACGCTCTGCATGATTGAGGACCGCCCGCTGCCAACAAAAGAGGCAAACGGGAACCTTGGTACGTATTAAAGAAAAACTAATTCAGAAGGGGGGTCTTCGGTGGGACTGCACTGGGAGGCAGGTCGGGTGAGCACAGTGGTTGCTTTCTGATATATTATCCACTGGATTGAGCCAAGTTTTCAAATTGGCATGTGACAACGCAGGAGCACAAATAGGAAATAGTTGTCACTCTATTACTGGAGGATTTTCATGGCAGGATTATTGTAATGAGAGCTGCAAATTTAGGAAGAATAATAACTTTTGGACTTGCATTACCATTTTAAGTTGTATATGAGATTTTAGTGATTTGGATTTAGATCTATTTTCTGGTCCTCTTCTATCTTACATTCTTGTTTCTCATAGGGATTGGCCTTGGTGGATCGATCTTCTCGACCAGAGACTATCTTTCTGTTGAAGACGGAAGACCTACCTGAGGACACCCAGGAGCGTTTCAACACCTTGTTTAACATGAGGGAAAAATGGACAGAAGCTGATATGGCACCATACATCCAGTAAATATTCTCATTTCGTTGTGTTCTCTCTGAGTCCGCTTTGTGGTCGCTCCCCTGTGAGAAGAGGTCTTATTGAGTCTGTAATTGATCCATACAGTATTTCCTCTGCATTCCTCAATTTGTTCTGACTTTGTGATTGATCTATGGACGCCATCTCACTTTTTATTTTTCTGTTTTCCAGGGACCTGTGTGGAGAGAAGCAAACCATTGGAGCACTGCTGACTAAATACGCCCGCACTTCTCTTCAGAATGGGGTCAAACTATATAACTCTAGGCGACCTCTGTCCTAGCACGTTTATTTCTGCTGTACAATAATGTAAAATATTTCTTTGTATTGTTTTATAAATCTGTTACTCGTCAATTGTGGTCTATTTTTTTATTTGAATAATGTTTAGACTATTATTTATTCTTTATATTGGAGAGTCTGTTAGCGGATGTGACTCAGTCATTCACAAAAGGGTGAAGAGTTTGGAGAAGGCAGGAGAAAGGAACTATCTAGGACAACATAGCTGATCTGGAAACGTTCTCCAATTCAGCTCACTTTCCAGTTCAGTTATGTTGTCCTAGATTGTTCACTTCTCCGGCCTTCTCCAAACTCTTCACCCTTTTATATATCACCTCTTAGTTTTGAAGTGGCTGCAGTTTATAGAAGTTGGGCTAACCTTTTATAGTGTTAGAATTTTGTCAGGTTACTGTAAATTGACTAAAGGTCTTACCTTGAATGACCTTTTACATCATGTATATGGCCAGGTATGTGTGTCACTTACCTGGGGAATAGATGGCAGCAGGATGGACTATGGGAAGAAGGCAAACTGGCGGAGGCAGTGTGATGGTTTGGGCAATGCTCTGCTGGGAAACCTCGGGCCTTGCCATTCATGTGGATGTTACTTTGACACATACCACCGACCTAAACAATGTTGCTGACCAAGTACACTTCTTGGAAATGGTATTCCCTGATAGCAGTGGCCTCTTTCAGCAGGATAATGCACGCTGCTACATGGTTTAAGGAACACAGCAATGATTTTGAGGTGTTGACTTAGCCTTCAAATTCTCCACATCTCAATCCAATGGAGCATCTGCTGGAAAAACACAAGTCCGATCCATGGAGGCCCCACCTTGCAACTTAACAAATCTGCTACTGACAGCTTGGTGCCAGATACCACAACATACCTTTTCATGTCTAGTGGAGTCCATGCCTTGATGGGTCAGGGCTGTTTTGGTGACAAAAGGGGGACCTACTCAATATTAGGTGGGTGGCCAGAATGTTATGAGTTATCAGTGCACATTAGCAACTGAAAGAAGGACTCCTGGATTTACCTGCACCCCCATTCCCCGTGTAAAAAAAAAAAACCCACCCTGTTCCCTCTATTTTCCTGCAGTCTTCTAGCCAATCCGGTGAAATCACGGCATCTTCCTTTGGCACTGGCATGTGGCAGCCATGCTTCCTAGAGTGAGCCCAGCCAGCACGATTATGCTCCCCCTGGGGAATGTTTAAATTGGGTTTACAGGAAACGGGCAGAATTATATGACTATCGTTCAGCCTGAAAAGGACTGCCAATGCTGGATAGAGAAAGAAGTTAGGGACAGTGCTGGAGCATAGAGAGGTTACTTAGAGATTGGGAGTTCTGTGGCAGGAGAGGAATTCCCCCCCCCCCCCCAAAAAAAATGTTTTCCTTGTTTTCTTGGAGTCCATTGAGCACTTCTGAACCTGGAAGTGACATGGGGCCACGTGTCTAATCAGCTGTGGGTCAGAGCATTCCTGCATCCCCAATCAAATGGGCAGTATGCGTGGTCTGCCATCTTTGACCTTTATATGGCCATATTAGGTCAATATTAAGTGGCCATATAAGGTCTATGACATCAAAGCATCCCGTCCCTTTGCTTATGTGCAGCTGTGAGCTTGGAATTCCTTGGGCGCAGCTTATTGGTTGGCTTCCTTCTGGTTGCGGAGGAGCTCAATGGACTCCAAGAAAAGGAGGATTAAAGGAGAACTATGAGGTGAGTGTTTTTCACTCACCTCATAGTTCTAGCCGACCTGTGACAATGAGACTCACTGGTCGGCTCAGTTGATCGGGAGGTGAGCGAACACATACAGGCGTATGTCGTGACAGAGGAGGGGCCCGCTCCGATCCCCCAGCGCTGACTGGCGGAACGGGAGGGGGCGGGTACAGCTGGCTCTGCCTCTAGATAGGCAGCGTCATTCAGGCAGCTGGGCGGATCCAGACATAATTGTCGGGATCCGCTTCAGCTGCGGCATCTCAGTATACCGCGAGCAGCAGCTCGCGGTATACTGCGGCGTCTCAGTATACCGCGAGCTACAGCTCGCGGTATACTGAGCCTAGGGTGACGGGAGGACGCTAGTTTGTGTCACGCTAGTTTGTGTCCTCCCGTTACCCTTAGGAGAACTATGGGGAAAAGCCTTAACCCCATAGTTCTCCTTTAAGGCTGATTCAGTAGTAATCAGCCAAAATTCAAGCAGTGTACTTACCATCCTTAAGGCCCCATTCACACCTGACCGTTTTGTAGCGCGTCTTACGCTCGATGAACGCTCTACAAAACGGTCAAAAAAATAAATAGCATTGTAGTCAATGGTATCGTTCCCACCTGTCCGTATTTCCGCCCGTCCCGAACGCACTACAAAACGGCCCACGCATGAAAAGGTCCCGGAGCGTTTTTGCTGCGTATTGGTCCGTTTTGTAGGGCGTTTTCCATTTGTATACTGCCAAGTAGCCTTTGGAATCGCGTGACGGTCGCGCAACTTTTTTACCGCGAATCGCGGTAAAAAAACCGCGTGACGGTCGCGCGACAGACGCGCATATTACAATACGCATAGGTGTGAATGGGGCCTTAGAGACCAGCTTTGACTGGCCCCTACAGCTCCCGATTGGTCATCAAAGTCATTGATCATCTATAGGACTGATAGGGCAGTTATCTAGGTTAGCGGAGATTGGGCAATGCTTAACTTTTACAGTACCTCAGGGTTGAGGTTTAAGCTGGCCATACACCTATAGATTTTCTATGGTCAGATTCCTCCATCTACCCTAAGCTGTGTGGATGGAGGAATCTCCCACGGTGCCAAGCTTCAGTATTTTGCTAGTCGGCCCCGCTGGCTACCAAAATACCTGAACAATGCCTGCATCCAATCAAATTCTTCAGGCATTTTGATAGCCAGTGGAGGAATCTTGCACTTTTTCCATCTGACCATAGAGAATCTACAGATAATCCATAGGTTTATGGCCGGCTTTAAGGTGCCCATACACTGCACGATTCTCGTACGAGAATCACGGGAAATCCCGCGATCGTATGAGAATCGTGCAGTGTACGGAAGGCGTGCGACCGTTTCTACTGTACGGTCGCACGTCTTCCGTCGAACCAGCATGCTAGAAAACCCCCGGATGGAGTGGTTACGTTGGGATTTCGATCCCTATCAACACTCGATCTGGGGAATCCTGTTCGTATCCGGGAATCCCATTGGGTGGTAAGTGAGAGGTGTTTGGGTTGTGGGGGTGGCGATGGTGATGGGTGTCCCTCTGTCCGGCGGAGCCGCCAAGAGCACAGTTCTTTCTGGTGTGTAGACTTCAAAATGGCTTTATGTACTGTATCACTTACAGGTGAAACTCGAATAATTAGAATATCGTGCAAAAGTAATTGCAGTAAGTGCTACAAAATAAATATCTCTTATATCAATTGAATCAAGTGTTGGTGTTATAACTCTCAACAAAACCCCATCTTTTCTATATGTTGTTGCAAATGCTAGAAAACCCGCCGGGAATCGTACGATTCTCGGCGAGTTAGTGGCCTGCTGGTTCGACAACTGGCGAACGGGCCGGTGTGCGCACGCGCACACTGCCCGTTTGCAGTCATCGTAAGCCCGCCCCTCATTACAGTCATCATAAGCCCGCCCCTCAGGGGGGCGGGCTTGCGACGATCGAGAGTACGATCTGCCTGTCCAAGATGGGCAGATCGTACGTTTTTTTAAGTACTTTACAACCATCGCAAGACTAAGGTCTTGCGATGGTTCTAAAGTGTATGGCCATCTTTAGGTCTGAGCCTGGAAGCATCATGGGCCCCACCAGCCCAATCATCTGTGGCTGGGGCATTCCCTCCCCTGTAGCTGCATATTAATAAAAGGGCTGGAATGCTTGTGCTGATGTCATTGACCTTATATGGCCACATGGACAATGTCATTGGTCAACTATAGCCATGTGTCCATATAAGGTTCAATGATGTCACTGCATCCCGCATGTTTGCTTATGTGTAGCTGCAGGTGGGGAATTCCTTGGTAGTGGAAGGCTTCCTTCCATGTTCAGGGGGAGCTCAGGTTTGGACTGAACCTGAGGTCAATGCTGATCAAGAGGTGTATATTTCTTCTATCTGGATGGTTTTGACCTGCAGCCATCAGGTGACTTCTTTACCCCCCCCATGAGTGTAATTGTTGCCTCCTCATTGAGCCAGTTCTGCTGTCACCTCTGCTGAGTTTTACATTTATAAATGGAGAATGTAAGTTCCAGATTGGAGTAGGAAGTGAGCCATTATGATGGGTGGGAGTACAGCTGTATACTATGCAAAAATGATCCCATGGCCGCAGTCACCAGAAGCCAATGAGGGGCTCTGCACCCACCTCTAACTGAAATATAAACCTATGGGCAGAGCTAACCTTTCATTTACATTATACTCGAGAAAGAGGCAACATTCCAAGTCGGTAATACTATATATTGAATCATTATTCTCAGCCTGTGTCATACTTTTCACTGAACCATACACATTACAAAGTGACTCCAGACGGCCCGTTTCTCCGGTGTTATTCACTGAGTACAAAATAGCAACGGGGCCAAGCCGCGGAGCGGAGGAGGGAGGCGGCTGCTACCATGAATAGGAAGAAGGGAGACAAAGGCTTCGAGAGCCCCCGGCCATACAAACTATAAGTATCCCTTTGTATAGAGCCCACTCATACATATATGTGTACTGTATATAGAGACTCCACTCATACATGACAACCAGCCTGTGTATAGAGCCCACCCATACATACATGTGTACTGTATATAGAGACTCCTCATACATGACAACCTTCCTGTGTATAGAGCCCACTCATACATACATGTGTACTGTATATAGAGACACCACTCATACATGACAACCTTCCTGTGTATAGAGCCCACTCATACATATATGTGCACTGTGTATACAGACTCCTCATACATGACAACCAGCCTGTGTATAGAGCCCACTCATACATAACTACGTGTCCCTGTACTGTGTATATAGAGCCCCCTTATAAGTATATAAATGTGTACTGTGTATATATAGAGCCCCCTTATACGTATATACCTGTGTACTGTGTATATATAGAGCCCCATTTTACGTATATAGCTGTGTAC